CTAACCCTTAAACCTGATATTAACATAAAGTAATAGTTAAACAGGTCAGACTGCAGTTCCCTGGATGAACTGTAGGTAGAGACAATGTTCAAACACTGAGACATTGTTGCAGCAGCATTGCAACACTGGGAAACCAAATGACAGACAGGTCAGACTGACAAGTCCTAGAGTATATGGCGTTAGCTCCTCTATGCAGGTTCACAGTGCAAAACAAAAAAAATATATACAAGATGAGCACCACTGTGCCTTGCTCTCATCATTAAAGATCTAAATTATATTATGGTAAAACAAGTATTTGAGTGTTACATGTGTTCACCCATTCATCTCAGTACAGGTCATGCTCTCTTTAAAAACTTAGCCCATTAATTTAAGCACAAACCCTTGTGGGGAGAAACTGTTTTGGCTCCATGTCAAAGCACTGACCTTTGATAAACTCGAACTGCGCCCTCTAGTGGGTGACTGGTGGTATGACTGGTAACAAACAGCTGGGTGTGTGTTGCACCAAATGTGACAACTGAAGCTCATCAAATTGATCCTATATAGGTAAGTGGCTTGTCCTCAAATGCTGACAAGGAAAATGGGTCAAAATATTTTCACAGAAGCTACAGTAGTCAAGAGCATCAGAAAAATTCAAAATAGCAAAGTTATTTTTGTTGCTTGCCCAAAAAAGGTATTGAGAAAAGCCTTCATGCATTTCAGTATACTTCAGTTTCACTTCTAGTCCACATGGACTGAAATGCTAAAAATCCTGAGAATGGTACCATAGCACAGTATAGTAGTACAACAACACAGTAGGCTCAGTAGGTTTGATATGGAGTCTGCCACTGTTGTAATTATAGACATTTTCAGTGTTTAAAGGATAAAGGCGGTCATTTTCTATATTAACAGTATCTTCAACACTCTCCATACAGAGACTAAAACCATCTATGAATTGCTTCTTCTCACTGTTAATGTCTGTCAGTCGTGGATTAATTTATTAGTCTGTGCCATATACCTCCATTGTTAGTCAAAAAAATTATTAAAAACAAATCAGTAAAACACACGGCTGCACTGGGTGACATGCTTACTCATTATGAAACACCAGACCCTAATATATGTTAAGAATATCCAGAGAGCTTGTGGATGGGCCCTTAGCTCTTGCTTACTTCAGACGCTGTAAAAAGTTATGGTCGTCTAGAGCCTTTGGGACAACATGTTTAATAAATATCAGGGTCTTGTGTTTCATATGAGGCCTAAAAGTGGAAACACACTATGTCGAGTTAGCCGCTGCAGCACAATGTTGTGGCTGGAACAATGAAGTCTATCTTGTGCAGGTAAGGTGTAGGAGTTTTGTGGTAACATCTACCATCGAATTGCTCAAGCCAGAGCCTCCATTCAACCATAAAAACTGCATCAGAGAAGGAGCCAGTGCCTTTGGATGAAGAGCCAAGAACCCTGCTGGACCCTAAAGTAGCAGATGAGGACGACACAGAGGGGAGCATTTCTGGGACACCAGAATACTGTTGAGCCCCCCAGAAGCACTGTGGGCTTATCGACGAAACATCAAGGAAGGAGGGTGATCACTTGAGTTCTCCTCTGTGTCAACCTTATATTGCTAATTACATCAGTGCTATGTTGACCATCACAAGACTATCTTGTAGGTGCTTGCACAAGGGAAATGTACATCTTTTCCTGTGTTCCTGACAGCTTGTGAATGTGCAGAAAGAAGCAAGTGTCATGTTTTTACTATTCTAGTTAGTTTTCATTATTGACAGATATCAGTACTTTTTCAGTACCTTGTTTAATCACAGCTTTTGAACTCATTGCTCCATTTCTAGTTTTCATGATGATAATTTCTTGATTTGCGATATTGGACTATATGAATACAATCTGACTTGACCTCTGTTTTTTGATGTAACAGATGTTAGCAGAACAGTTTTAAAGACCCCTTGAACAACTCAAACTAAAGAGCCCCTGCCCTGGGAAGGATCGGTTCTTTTCCCTCATCCAGTGAAGGTTTAGAAGTTTTAATTATCCATTAAAAATACTTTTATTTCATTTACATTATGACTAGAATTCAGGCAGAAATAAATTTGAATGAACTAGCCTAGTTCATCTATATGCTGTGACGAGGTGCACCTGTTGCATCCTGATCTTGTTCTCCTTTGTTGTCAAACCAGTTTCTACTGTCCATAACAGCCTTTGTGAGTAAATTGTGGGTTTTTTTAATCATGTCAAAAAGCACACTCCATTTAAAACAAAATGCACCTCCTGCAGTTTTGCATCAAAAACTCACTTGCAAATATTTGACTGAAATATCCAAAGCTGTATCAGACAAGAATGACATTAAAATTAGTCAATTTAGGCAATTTTGTCTCATGGGGAAACCAATCAGACCCAGCAACATGAAAACACACCATCCATCCATAGCTGCTGCTGTGCCATATCTCAAACTTAATCATTACTGACAGATATCAACACTTACTGATAACACGCAGCCTGTCAAATGTTTACAGCAGCAAACCAGCCATAAACATGAACACATTCAGGCCCGTCTTACCTTCAGCCAGATGATTTTTACTCCTCTCCCTGTGCAGAAACATCTACATGATTTAATCCAAGCCTCCCTATGACACACTCGACCTTTCCTTGTTTTCCTGATTTTCAGACTCAATTCATCCTTCACGTATTCCAACTTTTGAACAAGCGTCCAGTGACTGGGTCAAAAAAAATAACTCGGTGTGCCCTGAGCTAAAATTAGTTTAAAAGCTACAGCTGGGATGGGTCACCGGGAGCCCGTTAGCTCACAATCCGCTCAAAAAGTTGGCCTGACTCACGTCTGACAATGGCAACACAGAAACAAACAAACGCATGGCTCTTCTAGTTCCAGTAATTATAATCTCTGAGACTGGACGAATGTAGATACACTGAAAAGTTTGTGAGTTCTAGTTAAAAAAAAACTTCCGTCACTTTACTTTATGGTGATTAAACTTGGTGTAGTTTGCCGAGCGTTAGTTGCTAATGCTAACAAAACGTTTCTTGTTGCTGCTCCTTCAACTTAAAAGCATTACATTTTCAAAGCCTCAAATGGCTATTATTGTGAAGTGGGGAAATAAAACATTTTTCACAAGTTAGACTCAAGAGATGGGTAACATTTCTCACAGAATAAGAAACTCAGTGAACGAAGCCTTGGTTCACGGTTTAGTTGTAAACTGACCTGCTGAGTTCACGCCTCAGAAAAATTTGTGTATTCATGTGCAGCACTATACATAATAACCATTACAAGGGAAATTCAAGATTTAATGTATGGATCAATATTTGGCACTTAAGGTAGTCTACATGTTGGCTTGTCTAAGCAGGTAGAAAACCTGGCCAAATAAAGGTGATTATTATTATTATTATACATTTAAGAAGAACTATCCATCCATCCATTTTCCTCCGCTTATCCAGAACCGGGTCGCGGGGGCAGCAGTCTAAGCAAAGATGCCCAGACTTCCCTCTCTCCAGACACTTCCTCCAGCTCCTCTGGGGGAAT